CCCCCCCCCCCCCCCAACCCAAATGACTCATCGATCGAGGCCCATCTGAAAAATGAATTAGAATTTGATAGGAGCCCATTCTAAGATTTTTTCCAAAACCCTTGACACAAGTTGAACCGAAAAACCAAACACCCCCACTGAACAATGAACTCGGTGGCGAAGCGAGCAGTGATCCTCTTGACCCGCCCAAGTGCGTCTCTAGGCTCGGTGAATTGGGAGCTGCAGCAGAGGCGTGCAATCCGAGTGAAAGTGAGGAACAACAACCTGGATCAAGCCCTGACCCTTCTGCAGAGAAAGATGCAGTCGAGCGGGATCGAACGTTTGATAAAGAATGAGCAGACTCACCATATCAAGAACTCGGAGAAGCGTGTGCTGGCCCAAAAGAATTTGGAGCGCAAGATTCGTGGCCAGGACCTCGCGCGGAAGCTTAAAGCCATCCTCGTCAAAAAAGTCAGGTAAATTGAAAAATTAATCAAATTTTTTATTGAGTTATGCTCTGTATTTAGTATATACTGGTATTACATCATATAATGGTAAATGTTTGTCGTGATATGTTTTGGCTATGAATATATGATGAAGCGGTGATGAACTAATGACATTTTCTTCTCCAAGTGAAAGGAATAAACTTTCACTTAAAACATGATCAAAATGATATTGCGTGCTTTTTTTATTTTTAATGTGGAAAAAACAGAGATTTTATGAGTGTTCTCTTATATATGAAAGAATGGAAGATCTATTTAATAACGCATGAAATTGAGATGATGGAGTTCTTTTTTTTTTTTTTTCCCTTTTCTCACGAGAAAAAAATTTATAAAATTCGTTGGCATGAATGAATATTCTGTTAAATGCGAAGACTGAATTTTTCTTGAAAATGCAATGAGATCAATATTGTACGACCTGAGCCTCGTGCATGCCATTCGAAAGCGAACAATACGTATAGGATAACGGCTTCGGCACAAGGCTTGGGCGCATCTTTTTTTGTAGCAACCCAAGCATAGTGTCCGGCCTTTCTTTTACGTATTGTTCGGTTTAGGAGAGCCAGAGTTCATCTTACTCCTCACAAAGTTCAACGCATCCCCAGAATTTGAATCTATGACCTCTGTCTTATGAGTCTAGTTAGTATCAGGATTCACTCTCATGAGTCAAATGTCTTGTGTGCGAATTTTGAGAGTCGCGATAGAAATCGTGAGAGGGTAAGAGGACATGTATCCTCCCAAAGCTGACAGTAATGGCCAGTCTCAAGTTTTATTTTTATTTGGAAATGAAGAATTGGCAATAGAGACCGTGATTTAATTGGTTTGCTATTTAAGGATTATGTTACTTGTACATAAGGGAATACATAAAATGATTTGGAATTGGAGGGAAAATATTGGATGAAAAAATTGACTATGTTTTAAACTGACAAATGATAGAATGTCACATGGCATTATGTAATTCCTTATGTAAGCATTTATGAACATGTAGCAAGATCCGATATTTAATGAGTGGGAATCGGAAGGTTTTTTTTTAATTCTTAGTAGTACTGCATCAGTAAACACAATTCTTCTTGTATATTATTACGTCTTTTATAAACACAACGTTAGAATTGAAAATTTGATTATAGGTATTCGTTAGAAAATGTTATAAATACTTGTACAAGAGAATAGACATGGTGAATGAGCTGTTTATAGTAATTAAATTCCTTGAAATTACAAAGGAGTATGATGTTTAGATTTGTAACATTGACAAGCATATTGGAATGCTGATGTTCAAGAAACTGGAAAAATTTGGACCAATTGAAAATTCTAATATTACAAGATAAGGCTTTTAATAGTGCTAATGTGACTCCAAATGCCAAATGAAGAAGCCTAAGTTTTTCATTTCTATCTGGAACTGAGATTTCGTCATAAGCAGCTATTAGACACACCCTTGAGGGTTAAGTTAGTTTGTACATTGAATTCTGAGTTAAGTTTCATCACGTGATTCTAGCTTGTTGAATTGTGGAGAGTTCATTTTGCTTATTGAATGGAGATGCCGGGTATTGAAGTAGTTAAATTTTGGAAGGTTAAAAATGGAATCCCTTAACACAGCATATATAATTTCTTTTAGATGTTAACGAAAAAGGGACACAAAAGAAAATCACCAAGGTCGGAAGTATACTTGTTGAATCCTGGTGTCCTATAGCAAATGGATGATGAACAATCTCCTTCGACTAGTAACTAAAGGGGGCTACAATCATCCTAATATTTCATAGTATTGAAATTGTAATATGACATAAAAAAATTTGAAGAAAGCATCTGTGTGTGTGTGTGTCTGTGTGTTTTCACTCATTTTGGATGTACACGAGGATAAATATGACAAAATGAAATGACTAAAATATAACATATTAATGACAAATAAGTATGTGAAGTTCAATGATAATGCATTTCAAAACAAAATAATTAATTTCAAGAATTTTTTACTTTTGGCTGCTGCCGCAAGATGAAACCGGTTAGTTTATGAACTATTAGAATCAGGAACTGAATGTCGAGATTTGTATCCTGTAGTCTTTTCCGCCCCCTATAATATCTCTTGAAGAGCCATCAAGACTGACAATTTTATACAAAGGCAGCCTCTCTTGGGAATCATGGCCCAATTTCTACTTACATTTTGAGTAGAAAAGGATTCAATGAATTTGAAAGAATAGAACAAGGAGCCCTATGAGGTGAATATTTCATGAACAAGGGGGACTTCTCTGCCAACTTAAGATCCTCATGTCGACTTCTGTTTTCTGGTTCTCTGGTTATTCTATCGCATGTCTTGGCTTGTTTATCTTACTCCTAATTAATGTGGCTTTCATAAAATGCTGGCTTGTGAATCTTGACATCCTTGATTCCTTTTCTTGCAGGGGTCTGTAAAACGAATTGAGAAGGAAATGTTCTCTTCCCATGTGATTAGTGAAGAGGTTTTATTTGCTGCCGGTGGCTTATTCAGTCTGCTGACGTTTTTTAGAAGAGTAATCTAGAACCAATAGAGCCGAATATGAGGTGTGGTTCTTAAAATGTTCAATTTTTATCTCGATAAAGAACTTCTAGGGCGTGCCTGATAAGAAATTGTTGGATTGTGATGCCATTCTCTTTATTGTGGCCGTTTCTTTGTACAAAAGGGTACAATGATCTTTGTGTTCTGAGCCCTAAATAACGATCAAATTCCATGGTGCTCTCTTTATTCTGTATTTTTCTTTTCTTTTGTTTTTGTTTTATTTTAATAGAAGGGTAAAATGGTCAAAAATTGGGAAAAATGACGTTTTGCGTCAAAAATGTGAAAGGTAGGGACATTATGCGCCAAGAAACGAAACGTAAGGGCGTTTTGCACAAAGCCCGTCAAAGGTAGGGACGTTTTGCGCCAATTACCCATTTAATAATTATTGTCACCTAAAAATCCTCGTATATCAAAGACAGACGAGTTTTGCTACACAAACATAATGTTTGACATAGGGATGACACGACACACACATATGGAAAATTCGGCATTATTTAATTCAGGTTAGGACTCACATGCAATGTGAGTGGTTGGTCAACCCCTATGTCAAGTATTACGTTCATTTAGTTTAATTCAAGACAGATTCATTCAAACGCAGCAAGCAACAATATCCAATCAAAACTATCTCAAAAATAAAATAAAAGAAAATGTAAAAAACCAATAATGGAAAGATTCCATTAAAATTTGTAATTGTTCATATAGCGATTTCTCCCACCCTGATTGATAGTATTTCTCATTATATTTCATCACCTCCTGTACAGGTGGGGAATATAGAATTTCCTTTGCCTTTCAGAAGAGTCTTGAGACCAACAGAAAGTTTTATTCGTTCAGTGGATAAATAATTTCCACGTGAGAGCATTTAGTTGATGCAATGCAATCACTATAAAAAATGCGGCTTTAGAGACGTAATCAGTCGTTGGTAAATATCTCATGAAAATGATGACTTTTCTACCAACTTAGATCCTTGTGATTTCTGGTTCTCTAATTATTCTATCGCGAGTCTTAGCTGATTTTGTTTATCTTGAAACTCCCATATTTTTGCTTTATAAAACCCAACTTATGAATCTCAACACCCTTGATTCCTTTGCTTGCAGGGGATTGTAAAAGTAATCGAGAAGGAATTGTTCTCTTCTCAAGTGATCAGCGAAGGGGGCTTTTATTTGTTACCGATGGTTTATGCAGTAGCAGTACGCTGTCTTTTTTGTAGAAGAGTATTCTATAAGCAGTAGAGCCTGTGATAATGTGCGGTTCTTTTTACCTTGGTAAAAACTTCTAGTGCATGCCCCATATGTGGGTATGTAGTACTCAACAGGAAAAGAAATTACATGAACAAAATTTTAATTTATTTTCGTTCTTAATACTATCCGAGACTATTCAATCATTCCTACAAAACATGCTATAATAGGCACAAACTTTGATACCTACGTTTCTGATTTTCGATTTTCATTCAGTTCTTAATTTTTATTTATTTATTTTTTTGTTGGAGTATTTACCTTTGGTAGCTCGTATGCAGAAAAAACACAGTGTGCAAATGCCAACACTGAATGAACACCATTTTACCACTGTCACTGATACTATATAAAATATTTTGCTAGTTGGCTATATTTAGTACATCGATAAAATTGTGACTTATTTGTCTTTTTGATGTCACGTAGTACTGCTGTACATGTCAAATAAGTCAATAATGCCTTATCTTAAGCTTTTTCTAGACTAAGCTAAATCATAGGAAGATGAGAAATCCTATTCATGCCTTTTGTTCTTCATAGTGATCTTCTCTAACAAGAAAAACTATGGCGTTGATACGTCTCATTCCTCATCTTCTTATCGAATTAATGGTCACGACATATAACCACAAATAACTTGAGAGAATCTTCATTTCTTGAGAGTTTTTTTGTTGCTCACCGAAAGAGAGGAATGGAACAAAAGAAAAACGGAGATTCTTCATGGACAGGCTTCCAAGGCATTAAACTGCACTATCGATGCATATTATTTCTTAGTGGTGATAAACAATGGTTCTTGCATTGCTATAGATGCTTACCTATGAAGAAATCCTTTTAAAGCGCCATCTTTCTATGGTAAAGATGTTGGAAAAATTGGTGACAATAAACGGTTAACTTTTGAGATTGAATTTACACTATGGACTTCTATATTCTTGGATAAAGATTGAATTCGTAGAACAAAATAATAATAAAAAACGTATTATTTTTCGTCACTTCGACTACTGCATCTAGACTCCAAGAACCTCCAAAATAGGTGACACTACACTAGTGCTAAACACTCATAGCTATTGGTACAATAGTATTATTCGAGGGAAAAAAAAAAGAAAAAAAAAACTTTCATCTTTCTCTATTTCAGTTCAATTCACCAAAACTCCCCACTTAGTTCATGTTAGGTCTCCATTAAAATTTAATTTTAGAGAAAAAATATTTTGTAAAAGTAATTTTCTTAAAAAATGTGTTATTAAAAAATAATAATTTTTTTTGGATTCATGTGTAATATTATTTTATTGGAGAATGTGTGGTTAAAAAAATGCATTTTACCTCAAATGGAGCGAAACAGGAAATTACATAATTCCAGGTATTTCAACTTCAGTGTGCAAAAATCAGGTGAGAAGATTTTTTAATCTAAATTCAGGTATAGAATTAAAAATTAAATATTATATTCACCATACCTAATCCTAAATCCCAAATCATTATACTTCTCACTCTCCTTCTCTCCTCNACTTCAGTGTGCAAAAATCAGGTGAGAAGATTTTTTAATCAAAATTCAGGTATTGAATTAAAAATTAAATATTATATTCACCATACCTAATCCTAAATCCCAAATCATTTTTCTTCTACCTCTCCTTCTCTCCTCGTCTCTCTCTACCCTCTCCATTTTCATCTACCCTTACATCGTTGTCGCCATTAAGGAGCTCCCACCCCTGAAGGTCGAGCAGTGGCATCATCACTGCTGTGCCCACCCTCGCAGCCGGTGATGTGAGTGCCGACGCGGCATCGCCCTCGCTGCTGCTAGAGTTCGATAGGAGCACCCGTCGTTGGAGACACTTCCAAACCCCACTACGAGGCCCTTTGATGTGAGATTATCGCAACGGCATCGTCGCTGCTGTGCTTCGCCCTCACAGCTGGCTATGTGAGCGTCGACAGCGGCATCGCCCTCGCCGCTGCTATAGTTAGGTAGGGGCTCTATGGGAACCTACTTCTTTTGTGGTGGTGACAGCGGTGTGTGCGATGTATAGTGGGTGTTGTGAGGTGGTGTGGGGTGTTGTTTTGGCGATGTTGCGGTGGTGTTGCTGGTGGTAGTGACTGGTGGCCTGTGGCTGCATTTCAGTCTGTACCACGGTTGTTGCTGGACATATTTGCTTGCGGTGGTGGTGGCACTGTCGGTGTGCGGTGGTATTTGATCAGATGTGGTGTGTGGTGGGTTGACAATGGTGGTGGCAGTCGACGGTGGTGCAGGTGGACGATCTGGCGGATTTGGTGATTTTGGTTTTGTGACAAAATATAATCTGTGACATTAAATTTCGGTAATCTGTGACTAAAAATATAATCCGTGACCAACCATTTTGTTATCTATGACCTAAAAATTATATAATCTGTGATCGTGAAAAAATCTGCGACCAACTAATTTGGAAATCTGTGACTGTGTGACCTATAAATTTTGATCTGTGACCAACTAATTTTGAAATCTATGACCAACGAATTAATTGTGACCTACAAAATTTTTGAACTATGATCGTAAAATAATTTGTGACGTATAAAAATAATTATTTATGACTGAAAAATAATATGTGACCATATTGTATAAATTGTCGAAATCGGAGCAGTCGTCGAAATAAAGTTGCGGCGGAACGGTCACTGGAATAGTCGTCGGAATAATTGCTCGAATCTGAGCAGTCGCCAGAATGATTGCCGGAGAAAGTGGTGGCCGGAACGATCGCCAAAATAGTCCCCGAAACGATATGGATGATGACGGTGGGATAAGTTAATTATATTATATTAGAATTAAATATTTAATAATAAATTAATTTAATAATTTATTATTTCATAAATAAAAATTTAAAATTTTTTAATAAAAATCTGATTTTGGAAATTTCAAACTTGTTTTCTTATTTTTGAAA